TAAAACAGACATTGGGTGGGGAAAGAAGAAAGAACTGGGGAGGAGGGTGGAGAAAACAGTGCAACAATGAATGAATGAAAACCCAAAATCTCTGTAAATGTTCACTAAAACTAATAAAATTTAAAAATAGTATTTGCAAAGAATAATCAATCTTTGGTTGTACAAAGTTATATCACTTGATGTCCAACCTCATTTCTATCACCAAGGTCATATTTTCTAACTATCTGTCATTTTTTTGTTCCCAACTTCTGAAATCTGTTTTTGTGTTTAGATGCCATCAAGTCAACTAGGACTCTTTATGATCCTAGAAGAACAGATCCAAACCTCAGCTATCCTGTGCTGTCTAATGGTCTCTAACATGATCTAGTCCTTCTTTACAATCATCGTGTCAATCCATCTCATTGGGTGTTGTTCTCCAGTTCTCTGATTTTTCCCAGAATGATGTATTTTTCCAAGGATTAGCCAGCCCCTTCTGACCACATGCCCAATGTCTGTGAGATGAAGTTTTGCCACCTTTGCCTTTAAGGAGCACTCTGGTTACATTTCCTCCAACAGAGAAGGAGCACTCTGGTTACACTTCCTCCAACAGAGATTTAGTTATTCTTTTCACTGTCCATGGGATCTTCAATATTTTTCACTAACATTACAGTTCAAAGCTATCAGTTTTTCTTTGCTCTTCTTATTCATTGCTCAACTTTCAGATGTATACAAAACAACTGAAAATATTTTGGCTTGAGTCAGACTCACCTATGGCTTTGAATTGGCATCCCTGTTCCTTGGCACTCTGAGGAACTCTAGGTTTTTGACAGCAGCAGGTTTTCCCAATCAACACATCTTTTTATCTCGTTATTTTGCTATCATGCATGTTGATCGTGGATCCAAGTAAAAGAAAATAATGTAAAATCTAGTAACTGATTATGATATTTTATGTTCTATCAATATTGTTTGATTGATGTTATATCAATTCAAAGTGCAGCATTCTGTAGAACTCTCCAGTTTCTTCATCGTTGACCTTAGTGGTTGATGTATTTGAATAATAGTTATGCTAACAGGTCTTCCCTATAAGCATATGGATATCACTTATAGCATTGTACTTATGGATGTTTTTGTTGTTGTTATGTGCCATCCAGTCATCTGCAATGCATAGTGACCCTATGTACAACAGCTCTTAAACCTGCCCTATCCCGAGCCAGTCTCACTGACTCCAGCACACCTACCCCTATTAAACCAGTTACTGTGTCAATCCATCTCATACAGGATCCTCGTCTCCTGTACTGTCTCTCCACCTTTCTGAGCATGATATTTCTCTCCAAAGACCAGTCCCTCCTGGTCACGTGCCCGAAGTACATGAGACAGAGTATCAAAATCCTGGCCTCCAAGGAGAAACCTGGTTTCATCTTTCCAATGCAGATCTATTTGTTCTCTTGGTGGTCCATGGTAGGTTCAATACTCTTCTCCAGCACCACAACTCAAAGACATCAATTCATCCAGTTCTCTGATGTGTAGCAAGTAATTGCAGAGATCATGGCCTGGATCAGGCCCATCTTAGTCTCTAGACTGACATCTTTGCTTCTCAGTATCCTGTTGAGGTGTCTGATAGCAGATTTTCCCAGCATAATTCTTCTTTTGATTTCCTGACAGCTGGTGCCAAGAGTGTTGATAGTGGAGACAAGCAAGCTGTAATTGTTAACAAACTCGATCTCTTCTCCATCTATCATGATGTTGCCAATTGGCCCAGTAGTGAGAATCTTTGTCTTCTTGATGTTGAACATTAATCCATATCGAAGACTACAGGCCTTGACTTTTCACTGTAGCAAGTATCTCAGGTCCTCCTCAGATCTGCATTTTGTTGTTGTTGTTGATAAGTTTAACACCTTTCTTTATTTTCTCATTCTAGTATAGTAGATAATATGATTACCTGGCTCAAAGGGGCCAATACCAGTCTATCTTAGCTCCCTAATGCCTAGGATGTCAGTCTTGATGCATTTCGACAACTTCCACTTTCCTAGATTTATACTTTGCCCATTCTGTATTGTAGTCATTAATGGATGTTTGCAGCTCTTTCTCTGCATTTTGAATCTTGCCACATTAGTAAATGAAAGTCTTTGATTGACAGAAAAACTAAGGTCTTCGAGCTGTGGTGTTAGAGTACTGACTATGCCATGAACATCCAGAAAATGTCTTCGAGAAAATTCAGCCCGAATGCTCCTGGGAGAGAAAGATGATGAAGCTTTGTCTCACATACTCTGGTTATGTTATTAGGAAAGGCTATTCCTTGGAGAAGGAATCATGCTTGGAAAGGTGGAAAGGTTGGCAAAGAGAATACTCTCAACCAGATAGACTGACACAGTGACTGCTGCAATGGGCTTGAGTGTAACAGAAGTGATAAAGACGGCACAAAATATGACAGGGTGCAGTTCAGTTGTTCATAGTGTCGCTATGAGTCATACTCGACTTGATGGCACCTAACAAAACCAACAACTTCTTAGTCTGCCTTAGTCTGGAATGTTTACTGAAGCTTATACACCATGTGACCCTGCTGGCATTTGAAATACTAGTGGCAAGCTTCCAATATCACAGTAACATGAAAGCTACCACAGTAAGGTAAACTGACAGACACGCAGACTCTGACAGGCACAGAGTAAACTATCTCATAAGATTTCCTAGGCCAAAATCTTTATGAGAGTAGATCACCAACTTTTTATTCTAGAGAGTGGAGTGGCTGGTACACTCGAACTACTGACTCTGAAGTCAGACTTACCTAGGTTCAAAGCCCAGCTCTGCTATTTTCTAGTATCGTGACTTTAGACAAGTTACCTAAACTAAGCTTCTTACCCTTTAAGGCGAAGATAACAAATATATCAGCGGGAGGCTTAGATATGATTGTAAGATGCATAGTGCTGTGTCCTGGTATATAGTAAGTGCTTAATAATAAATGATAATAATAATAGCACACCCATGTTTATCGCGGCTTTGTTCACAATAGCAAGGAGTTGGAAACAACCCAGGTGCCCATCAACAAACAAATGGATAGAGAAGCAGTGGTACATTCACACAATGGAATACTATGCTGCATTGAAAAACAATGAATTCATGAAATATTCAAAATGGGTGACCCTGGAGGACATTATGCTGAGTGAAATATCTCAGTCACAAAAGGACAAATACTGCATGGTGCCACTGTTGTAGAATGGGACTGACATCAGGGTTGGGGTAAGACTGAGAAAAACTGGGTAAATTATGTATACTGCATTGAAACAGATGAAGGAGAGAACAATTTTAAAGTGATATATGATAGGGTATTATGGTTATCACAGGAGTCCAGAATTAAGGTTGCATAGTGGAGTGTGTACTTGGGGAGGTAGGAGGGGTGCGGGGGGATTGTATACCAATGAAAGAATTTTTCTTTTACTTTTCAAAGAGAGGAGCGAACTGGTGGGGGTAGGAGTGGGCAGGGAGAAAAGTGCAACAATGAATGAATGGAAATCCAAAATCTCTGTAAATGTTCATTAAAATTAATAAAATAAAATAAAAAGATAATAATAATATAAGAATGTTTATTGCTATCTCAATAATGGTGATTTGTTCAGTGTGTGACTCAATTTTGGTTTAGGGGTTTGTTGATTTTTGTTGTTGTTGTTTTGCATTATAGTGGAATATATATAACATAACAAAATTTACCTTTCTAACAATTCTTGGTGGCTTTTAAACTCTGAGAAATTTTGCATATATACTTTCTTTCCTTAACCAGGTGACTGACTCGGTGACTGCTTCAACAGGTTCTAGTGTGTCAAAAAGTGTGAGGATGGCACAGGATAGAACAGGGTTCAGATCTTTTGTTCATAGGGTGGCTGTGAGTTATATCCATTTGACAGCTCCTAACAACAACCTATTTTCTTTATGATTCTGAGTTTGGAAAATGAGGCCATTCTATTTATGGGCTGTGCTGGCCTTTTTGGCTATGCACCTTTCTCTGTCCTGAGGCTGCAGAGCTATGTCTTGAAAATTTAGACTACACAGAATTGTGGGTATCGTTGAAGGTTCTGATCACTTGAGCATGGTTAGATTTCCAACTTGAGAAGAGTCTATACTTTCTCCAAGGGTGATCAAAGGGCAGAGATTTGAACTCAGGCTCCTTAGCATGGCCTCCTCCTTCAGCTAGTTATTCAGAGTAAAGTGGAGGTGACTGAAGAAGCTGGAGGTTATGAGATTGGTTCTGTGCTCCTCCCTTTTCTTCCCAGCTTTCCCCCACAACTATCCTCTCCCCCACAGCAGCCAGCTCCCCCTCAGAGACTGGGATAGGAGTAAGGGGGGCGGAGTTGGGAACTGAGGGATGGAAACCCCGACGGTGCCCAGTATCTGAAGGAAACTGGAGGGGGCAGCTCTTCTGCTCCTTCTGCTGCCATCCTTCAGGAAGATGTTGGGGTCTCTGGGGCTTTGGGCACTGCTTTTCTCAGCGGCACAGGGTAAGTGTCTACAGGGAGGGACAGGGTGCTTCCACATACCCAGTGAGGAAGAGGGGTACTTGAAGTAGCAAGCAAGCGTGATAAGGGGGTGGTGGTGAGTGAGAAAGGTAGAGAACTATGTGTCCCCATGGCAGGCGGTCAGGTTCCAGACCTCTGCTCACTCTGTTTGCTCCTGTGGCTTTGCAGGCTGACCCTGGGATAGAAAACGTGTTTAGTCTTTCCTTTTGGCTGCTGTTTTTGCCCTGCATTCACTCCCATCTTGAACCCTTTCCTTTCCTCACCTGGGCTGCAGCACCCCCAAGCAGGAGGGCCTGTATATTCTTTGAAGCCCCTGGAGTGCGGGGAAGCACAAAGACACTGGGTGAGCTGCTAAATGCAGGACCAGGGTCCCCCAGGGTTATCCGATGCCTCTACAGCCACTGCTGCTTTGGGATCTGGAACCTGACCCAAGACCAGGCACAGGTGGAGATGCAAGGTGAATGGCCAAGGAGATGGCATGGCAGGTGATAGCTGTGGTGGGAGCCAGCCACATCCTTGGGTGGTGATCGGGTGGCAGCTGAGGGAGAAAGGGAGAAATGGAACGTGTGGAGGGAAAGAAAGGTCATGTGAGATGAAAGGGGTGCTTCTGAAAGGGAAGAGTTTTACTCTCTCTGTTCCCAGACCCCATTGTGCTCTCTCTCTCTTGCTCTCCTCTTAACCTCACACCTTTAGGATGTCGAGACAGTGATGAGCCGGACTGTGAATCTCCTCATTGTGACCCAATACCCAGAGCCCACCCCAGCCCTGGCTCCATTCTCTTCACCTGTTCCTGTGGCACTGACTTCTGCAATGCCAATTATAGCCATCTGCCTCTTCCCGGGAGCCTTGAAAATACCAGCTCCCAGGGTCCCCAAACCACCCCAGGTAGATCATCCTTGAGTGTGTGTGGGAGGGGAGTGGGGGCTGGGACCTGGGGTAGGACAAACAGTAGAACCAAGGGCCAGTTCTCACCCCACCCCCTCATTATGCTTCCCTCTGGCCTTGAGAAGTTGGTTGCCCTGGTGACTGAAAGATACAGGGGCTTGTGACCAGGGTGGAAGTAGGTTGAGAAGCAAGCACTCTGAGGAGGGGGAGAGGAGCAGTGGGCGGATTTGAGGCAGGGCTCACCAGCCTGCGTTCTTGCTTTGATGTCCAGGGGAGTCCATCTGGATGGCGCTGATGCTGCTGGGGCTGTTCCTCCTCCTCCTGCTGCTTCTGCGTAACATCATCTTGAGTATTGATCTGCCCATCCCTCCCCTATGACCTTAAGACACTTGTCCAAAGCACTTACCCCACTCCTGCCTCCCTTGACTGTGCTCCCTGATATCTTTACGGTCTGACTTGCTTATGTCTCACAAATCTCCCTCTCCACACACCTCCCTCCCCAGTGTCTGCACATCCTAACTCCAAGGTCCTTCTTTTCTCAGGCCTGCTTCAGCGAAAGGCCTGCAGAGTACAAGGAGTGCCAGAGCCAGAGCCAGATTTAGGCAAAGACTGGAGTGAAGAGCTGCCGGAGCTGCCGGAGCTGCCGGAGCTGCCAGAGCTGCCAGAGCTGTGCTTTACCCAGGTGCCCAGGAGGGAGGGAAAAAGCTGCCCTGGGCGCTTCCAGAGAATCTGCTGGGGCAGAAGCCTGGCCCTGGTTCTAGCTTAGAGGACCACATCTGGCATCCTGTCCTCAGGTCCTGCGTGAAGGAGGCCACGGAGTGGTGTGGGCTGGGAAACTGCATGGGGAACCTGTAGCCATCAAGGCCTTCCCACCGAGGGCTATTGCCCAGTTTCGATCCGAGCGAGCGCTGTATGAGTTGCCCAGCCTAAAGCATGAGCACATTGTCCGCTTTATCACTGCCAGCTGGGGCAGCCCTGGTCCTCTGCCCTATGGGCCTTTGCTGGTGCTGGAACTGCATCCCAAGGTAAGGATTCAGGAATGGGGGGGAGGGGGAGGTGGTGCCGGATGGCAGTAAGCGGCCTTGCCAGTGCTTCATCTTCCACTTACTTTCTTGTTTTTTCCTCTAAAACACTGAAAGTGAGCTCTGATGACATAGTTCCTAGGGAGCTGTGCTTCTAATCTAAGGTGCAACTCCACCAGCAGCTGTTTGGGAGAAAGATGAGCAGTCTCCTCCTGTGTGGCTCACAGACTTGGCAACATGTGGGAGGGTCAGCTATGAGTCCATTCAGACTCACAGCCATGACATAGAATTTTCTTTTAAGCATCAAAAACAAAATCATTGCATGTTAATATTTTTCACTCATAAACTATAGATAAGAAAAGGGAGAAGTCAGAATAATTAATATTTTCAACTTTTTAGAAAGTCATTAAGAAAGAAGTACCTCCAGGCATAGCCCTCCAAGATCATTCATATGTTCATTCAGCAAATGTTTACAAATTATATGTCAGGTTCCATGCTAAGTGCTGGGGAAAACACATGCAATCTCTGCATTTATAGATTTTATAGACTAGAAGTGAGACAGAAATAAATAGAAAATGTCAAGTGTGATGAGTGCTACATAAGAGAAGACCATGAATCTACTGTAGTTATCTAGTACTGCTTTATCAGAAATATCCACCTTGACGACTTTAATAAGTTTATTCTCTCATGGTTTAGGAGGCTAAGGGAGTTTAGCTTTCATAGTCTAGGAGGCTCTGGTGGCCCAGTGGGTAGGGAGTTGCACTGCCAACCCCAAGGCAGGTGGTCTAAATCCACCAGCTGCTGCTCTGAGGCAGTAAGATGAGCATATTCCTCCCACTTGATTTACAGCTTCTGAAAACCCACTGGAGGGTCAGTTGTGAGTAGGTTCTGCCTCAACAGCAATGATTTGGTTTTTAAATAAATTTTTTAAATAATTTTTTTATGTGTACTATCAAATCGGATCTGACTGATGCAGGAGGAGATTGTCCCTCCTTCTCCAACAGAGCATCCGGTGGATTTGAACCACTCACCTCTGGGATTGCAGTGCAGCCTCTTGCCAGTAGGCCACCAGAGCTCACCAGCAATGAGTTTAGTTTTGTATTAGGAGGCTAGAAGTCCAAATTCAGGCTGCCAGCTCTAGAAAAATGCATTCTCCCTCTGAGGAAAGATTCTCCTTGGAGATCTCCATGTGTCTTACCACTAATTTTCCCCCAGGTCTAAGATTCTCGATATAAGGACCCTGGATTCAAAGGTTATGCTCTACTCCTGGCTCTTCTTTCTTGGTGGTAATAGCATCCCTTTTTCTGCTTGCTTGTTTAATCTTTTTATATCTCAGAAGAGACTGACTCAAGATATTACTTGATCTTGTAGATTGTGTCCTGCCTCATTAACATCACTGCCTCTAATTCTGCCTCATTAATATCATAGAAGTTAGGATTTACAACACATAGAATAATTACATCAGATCATAAATGGAGGATAATTACATAATATCATGAGAATCATGGCTTAACTAAGTTGACACATGTTGTGGGGGATGACATAATTCAATCTACAGCAGTGCCGTAAGAGAAAATAAATAATGAGACTTGGCTTACTCTGGGGTGCAAGTAAGGCTTCTCTAAGGGGTGCTGGCTGAGGAGGGTCTGGAAGAAGGGTGGAAGTTAAAGATGTTTGTAGAGGGTAAAATCAGGGTGAAAAATTATACTGTGAGAGGAGGACTCTGGCAAGCCCCAGGAAGACTGAAGATGAAGGAGAAGACAACTGAAGATGAGGAGAGGGTGGTCAGGGCTTAGACCACCACTCAGCCTAATGGGCCTGCTAAGGCTTTTAGACTTTATTTTAAAAAGGCGTACGTTTCTATATAATTTATTATATACTTTGTGCTAGACATTGACTAGGCATTGTAAACACACTTTCATCCCACATGGGACTCAGGAAAAGGGAGTTGCTTGCCCATGTCTACATGACTCTAGAGGCTGTCCCTTCATCATGTGTTGTCATACAGCCTCTCTGCTGTCCACTTCTTCATCAGGAACTTTCTCTCTCCATATGGAAGACTTTCACTCAACTATCTCTTCTCTGAAGCTCAATCCCTTCAACCCATTTTAGTGCTGAGTGCAGTGGTCCCTTCCTGGAGTTGTCATCACCTGCAACTGCTTAGTACCCCTGGATGGAACAAATAGTTAAGCACTACTAACTATAGGGTTGGCAGTTCGAATCCACCCAGAAGACCAAAGTAGGAAGGTCTGACAATCTATTTCTGAAAGATGATGACCATTGGAGAGTCAATAGCACATACTTCTACTCTGAAACTATAGTGACAGAATGAGTCAGAACTAACTGGAAGGCACAGATTCTTCTTTTTTTGGTGAGAATGTCCACAGAACAGTCAATGATGTGCTTTCTTTAAAGTTCTTCCACCTGTGAAATCTTAAATTCTGGCAAGTCTCCTCTTAGATCGCATGTCACAAGACCCAGCTCAAAAATTGTATCCCTTCTCCATACTTATTCAACTGTATATTGAGTTGGACTCTACAAAGAAGACTCTGGCATCAGGATTGGAAGAAGACTCATCAATAATCTGCGTTATGCAGATGACACAACCTTGCTTGCTTAAAGTGAGGAGGACCTGAAGCATTTGCTGCAGAAGATCAAACATTGCAGCCTTCAATATGAATTACATCTCAACATCAAGAAAACAGAATTTCTTACCACCGTACTGATAGGCAACATCATGCTAGATGAAGAAAAGATTGACACTTCCAACTACTTCCTCTTACCTCAAAAGCTGGGTAGACAGCATTATGAGAATGTCTCTGCTGAGCTTGCCTTGGTCTTGCTTCTCTTTATCCCTTGACCTAGTGCTCTGAGGCAGTGATGGGTGATGGCTTGTAGTGAGTGACTACAGCCTCAATACTGCATTAGCATACGTTCAACTTGCTTCTCACTAAGTGACTTCAAGCAAATTCACTTAGGTCTGTCCATACTTCCTCATCTGTGAAATGGGGAGAAAAGACTACCTAGGTGCTACAGTTTGTTGTGAAGATTCTGGGAAATTATACAGGCACAGAATCTGGCCCAGGGGAGGGCTCAGTACACATAAGCTATTGATATTTATTTTTCCATCAATTTGATTGTTCTTTGCTCTCACTCCTCCATTGCTTGTTGCTCTGGCCTTGGTTTCAGTGTAGCTGCTGAGAGGTGAGAAGAAGTCTGTCAGTTAATCTCTGTTCCATTGAATGCAAGACCCTCTTCAAATCTGTGTGCCCCTGTTTTCTCTCTACTTCTCCCCAGGGTTCCCTATGCCACTACCTGACCCAGAATACCATTGACTGGGAAAGTTCCCTGCGGATGGCACGGTCCCTAGCCCAGGGCCTGGCATTTCTCCATGAAGAACACTGGCAGGATGGTGAGTGAGCTGGGAGCAGGAATCACATTGTTACATTTCTGATTTTTCCTTATGTTGGAGGGAAAAGATAGGATCAAAAGAGAGAGGCACAGGATCCTTGACCCTTTGATCTTGGATTCTCCTGCAGGTCAATATAAACCAGGCATTGCCCACCGAGACCTGAGTAGCCAGAATGTGCTCATTCGGGAAGATGGGTCATGTGCCATTGGAGACCTAGGCCTTGCCTTGGTGCTCCCTGGCCTCACTCAGCCCCCTGCCTGGGCCCCTACTCAACCCCAAGGCCCAGCTGCCATCATGGAGGTGAATATTCTGAATGGAGGTTAGGCCCAGGATGCTGGTGGAGGTACTGGTAGAGATATGATCATTGCTATGGCAACAGAACAGGTTTTCCTGTGGTGTCTGGGACATAGCTGAATTTGTAGTTAGGGGGTGTTACATGACCCAATGTTGGGGTGAGGGTTACCAGAATGACTCTTGACTACCCTAACCTTACTTTCCAGGCTGGTACCCAGAGATACATGGCACCAGAGCTCTTGGACAAGACTCTGGACCTTCAAGACTGGGGCACAGCGCTCCGGCGAGCTGATGTGTACTCTCTAGCTCTGCTCTTGTGGGAGATATTAAGTCGCTGCCCAGATTTGCAGCCTGGTAAGGAGCACTGGTGGCATAGTGCAGTACGTGCTGGGCTGCTGATAAAGGAGTCAGCGGTTCAAATTCAGCAGTTACACCATAGGAGAAATATGGAAAGTTTCCTCCCATAACAATGTGTATCCTTGGCAATCCAATGGAAGGACCCCATGAGTCAGAATTGTTTCGACAGCAGTGGGTTTGATTTTTGGTTTAAGGATGGGTGGAAAGGAGCCATGGTAGCACAATGGTTAAGTGAACAGCTGTTAATGGAAAGATTAGCAGTTTGAATCCAAGAGCTGCTCCATAGGAGAAAGATGTAACAGTCTACTTTCATAAAGATTTCCAGACTTGTTAACTCTGTGGGGCAGTTCTAGTCTATCCTGTAGGATTTGTGTCAGAATTGGCTTGATGTCAGCGGGCTTTTCAGATGGGTGGCACATCCTACCTACCCTCTCCAGTCCCACCTACCTCCTGCCCTTCAGTACCCAGGAACCCCTCTCTTCCTCTTGGTCATCCACACAGGAAGTATGTCTAGGGTTAATGGACACCAAGCTTCTCTGCCTTCTCTTAGAGAGAAGACCACCACCCTTCCAACTGGCCTATGAGTCAGAGCTGGGCGGTACCCCTACTACTTGTGAGCTATGGGCCTTGATAGTGGAGGAGAGAAGACGCCCTTCCATCCCACCTAGCTGGTGCTGCTTTACCACAGTAAGAGATCACAGGCTGCCTGGTGGGGGACTTGGGGACTGGTACTGGGCATGGTGTCATGGACTTCTTTGTAGGGCCAATCTGTCTATTTCTATTTTCTGTCCTCTCCATAGCTAATAAAATGTGTTTTCATCCGCAGTGCATCTTTTTTCACTCTAAATTTCACTTATGTACACCTGAGATCACACCTTCTGGTTATTTCTGTCCAGTCTGTCTTGGCCCACTCTGTTCCTCAGTTCCCTCCTCCTGGAAGCCTTTCTGGCTTTACTTCTTCCCTGAGTTCTGTCTCCAAGCTTGTTTCTGTCCTAGCACACTGCGGCTCAGAAGTCAGACTAGTAACTCCTCATTCTGTCTTTTCAAAACATGTTTCTGCCTGTGACATGATAAAAGACAGGCCTTGGCATAGAGAGTCAAAGCAGGGACCTCACAGTGAAATTTCAAGTATCTACAGAATTTTTTAACATAGTGGTCCTTTCCCCATCTGGCTATCTGGTTTGAGAATTCCTCTAGCAAGTGTATGTTGGCTTGGATAATTAGAGATGGAAGCATTGTTTCTGAAAGACTCTGGTTGCTCAGGAGGGAAGAAAATAATTGCCTATTAACGTGTTAAGGTAATTTGCATAATGGTGCTCAGATAAAGAAATAGACCCTGTAGAAGGTAGTCCATGAAGCTCCCCTAAGAAATAAGATGCACAGGCAGGATTTCAGGGCAGGATAGGAGAAGGAGGTTTTAGAAAGGATCAGAAGTGGAGTATGGGGGGGTCGGGGGGAAGAAGTGGAGTATGGCAAAAAGGGGAGTGGTAGACACTAAAGATGCCCTTTAACCCCAGCACATGGGACCCCTCTGGATTCAGGGGTCAAATCTGCCTGCTGGTCATTTCTTCTAGGAACCTGGTGAACTGAGGGAGCTTCTAGAGGACTGTTGGGATGCAGACCCTGAAGCACGGCTGACAGCAGAGTGTGTGCAGCAGCGCCTGGCCACCTTGGCCCATCCTCAGGAAGACCAGCCTTACCCAGAAGCCTATCCATATGGCTGTATACCTCTCTGCCCAGAGGACTGACTGTTCCTCAACTCCTGTCCCCAGCCATGCTCCTCTGTGCTTCAACTGAGAGTCAGCCACTGCCTGCTCAGCAAGGCCCTTGTATCAGGAGCCTTCCTCCTTCCTGCACCCTGTCTCACTTTTAAATATGTGTTTTATATGTGACCTATGTGCATGCAGACATGGTGAGCATATCCCTACCTGGTACCCCTCGCTTGCCAAGTCCTTGGACTTTTCTGTAGACATCAAGTCATCTAAATTTCTGTCCATGACTGGGAAAGGGTGTGCACAGGAAAGAAAGACATTCAGCTTTCCTGACTCTGTCTTGGGCCTTCCCTATGATCCTAGGCTTCTCATGGTCTTTTTTCTTTTCTTTTCCTCCAGAATCACATACTTGGTGGGATCTCATGCTGAGAACTAAGGAAAAGAGTTAATAAATGAGGCTGTTGCCCTGAAGATACTTTCTCAGACCTGCAACTCACTTTGTTAGGATCCTATCAAGCATTCTGGAGGGCAAGAGTACTGTAGGCCTAAGTGGATCAAGGAAGCCCTCATGCAGTGCTGGATACTTGAGCTGAGCGTTGAATGAGCATATAGGGGAAACAGGGCATTCCTGTTCCAGTGAGGTATGGTATGATAATTAGGTTAAGAAACATGTCAATCTGATGGCAACAGTTCAGAGTGTGTGGTGAGGAAGGAGTAGAGGTAAAATGGGGAACTGTAGGTAAGTCCTTTCAGGTCCTGCTGAGAACTGTTGCCTTCATTTCTCTATTTTTAACTAATTCACTGGTATTGTGTTTGAGAATATGTACAGTGGAACATATACCAATTCAAAGGATTCTACGTGTACTGTTCAGTGATACTGACTATATTCTTCAAGTGTTCATCTCTTTTTGTGTGTGTGGGTTTCCTCCACTGGCTTTTCTTTCCCACCCCAGACCCTCTGTGTGCCCTTCAAAATTAGCTCAAAGTTTGTGCCTGATTTACAGCCTATCTCAGTTGCTACCTGAATGTCCTTGAGCAACTCACTCTCTCTCGCTTGGCCTCAGATTTCTTGTTTGAAAAACAAAGCCTCCAGAATAGAAGGCGTTACAGTCATAGAGAGCAGTACTGCTTCCTGACTGCCTCATCACCGATGGGGCTTTGTGTCCTTGGGGATTTACTTCATCTTCTGAATCTCAGTTATATAATTTGTAAAATGTGAGTAAAAACACCTAACTCACTGAATCATAAATGTCAAGATGGTAGAAACGACAAATGTTTTGTTAGCTATATACTTGCCACAATTTAAAAAAAAAACAACAAAACCAAGCAAAATTCTATACTGTTTGCAGAATTGATTCAGGTTGTAAAAGAGGCCTTGCTCCACACCTGGCTGTGATGGACACTGATTAAATGTGACTGTGTAAGACTCAAGCAAGACCCACACCTCACTCGATACACAAAAACCAACTCAAGGCGGATCATGGACCTAGGACTAAAACCAAGGACTATAAACTTCATTACAGAAAAGCTAGGAACAACACTAGAAGTCCTAATCCACAACATAAACAGTCTTCCCAGTATCCTGGAAAACCTACAACCAGGAGAAGATAACGTAGATGAATGGGATCTTCTAAGACTCAAATACCTATGCACATCCAAAAACTTCTCCAGTATGGTAAAAAGGGAAGCCACTGACTGGGAAAAAGTATTCGGTAATAACATATCAGATAAGGGACTTATATCCAGAATTTATGAAATACTTGAGCACCACAACAAGATAAAGGTAAAGAATCCAATAGAAAAATGGGCACAGGATATGAACAGGCACTTCACCGAAGACGACATTCAGATGGCTAACAAGCACGTGAAGAAATGCTCAAAATCCCTAGCCCTAAGAGAGATGCAAATTAAAACAACTATGAGATATCATCTCACCCCAGTCAAAATAGCAAAATTTAACAGAACAGCAAGCAACAAATGCTGGCGAGGTTGTGGAGAAACTGGAACCCTGATTCACTGTTGGTGGGAGTGTAAAATGGTGCAACCCCTGTGGAAAGCAGTATGGCGCTTTCTCAAAAAGTTGCAAATAGAGATACCATTTGACCCCGCAATTCCACTACTGGGAATATACCCTGAAGAGACCATAGCTGACATCCAAGCAGATATATGCACACCCATGTTTATTGCAGCTTTGTTCACAATAGCAAGGAGTTGGAAACAACCTAAGTGCCCATCAACAAACGAATGGCTAGAGAAGCTGTGGTATATTCGCACAATGGAATACTATGCTGCATTAAAAAACAAGGAACTCATGCAATATTATTCAAAATGGCTGACTCTGGAGAACATTATGCTGAGTGAAATATCCCAATCACAAAAGGACAAATATTACATGATGCCACTGTTGTAGAATGGGACTGTCCTTGGGGTTGGGGAGAGACTGAGTAAGATGGGTTCAATAATGTATACTGCACTGAAACAGAGGAGGGAGAAAACTGTTTAAAAGAGATATATGACTAGGTATTTCTGTCATCACAGGAGTCTAGAGCGAGGGCTACATGGTGGAGGGGACCTGGGGGAGGGTTTGTAAAACAATGAAAGAATCCTTTCTTTTACTTTTCCATAATTTTTGACTCATGTACTTATACCTTGTTAGTCAAATTTGTGTCTTCTAGGTTGCAACACCCTCATGATACATCTTCAAGGATACGAACATGTACGGCTAAGCACAATCAATAAGAGTGCATCTAAATTCCAAAATCAATCTCCATAATAGTCTATGTGTTTCCTACTGCCAAAGGGGCCCTTTAGAGTAGTGAGAGAAGATCTTCACCCTGAAACCCACAGCATCCCTTTTCAGCAGGAAGTAGCTAAGAGAATACGCCATCCCCTTTTCCTTATGAATCAGGGTGAAGTCTCTCTCAGGGAGGAGTGATAGGGAATGGCAAAGGACACACCGACAAAGGAGATTAATCAGAACTGACTTTGACAAGCACTGTGGCAATTGGACAATTAAAACAGACATTCGGATGGCGGGGAAGAAGAACAAACTGGGGAGGAGGGTGGAGAGAATGGTGCGGCAATGAAGGAGTGAAAGCCCAGAATCCCTGTGAGTGTTCATTGAAACTAATAAAATTTAATAATAATAATAAAAAAATAAATGTGACTGTGTGTTGAGATGAACTCTAGGCCCTTTCTAGTTTGGTTGTTCTAGGGCAGCCTGTCTACTCTCAAGCCTTCAGATTTTTACCTTTCTTTAGATCCCCAATTCTCTACAAGACACTGTCACTTGGGTGGGCAGCCAGCATCTAAAATAAAATACATCAAAATCCAATGTCCTATGTCTCCTTCTTCCTTGATTCACAAGGGTGCCAATTACTCCTGGTTCCAGAGCTTGCCAACAAGGATGGTGTTCGGTCTCCTCCTGTGATCCAGTTGACCTCACCAATACACACTTCCCTCCTGAGCTTGCCTCGGCAGGACCTACTTTTAGGGGTCTTCCTCTTTTATATTTTCCTAGGCATGACCCAGGGAGCTCTGGTGACATAGTCTGCAGGGAATCGCACTGCTAACCCAAAGCCTCTCTGGGAGTTTGAATCTGTCAGTGAGCGATTCTAAGAGAGAAAGACAGGCAATCACCGTCTGATTCACAGCCTGAGGAAACCCATTGGAGGATCACCTATGAGTAGGTTCTGACTTGAAGACAGTGAGTTGAGGCATGGCCCACCAAAACTCAAACATATCCAAAGACTATGACCATTTGTCACTCTTCAAATCTAAAGCAAAACATAGCCTCATTGCTCATCTTTCAGCCACTCAATAGACAGGCCTATAAGAAGTACTGGGCACCAGGGAGGCACTCGCTCCTTAGAATAACCCTCCAGATAAAAGTCAAAAGAGTAGCATTTGCTCAATGATAAAGCCCTAAAAGTAGGCAGGTATGGCAGAGAAAGGTTAACAGAAATTAGAATTCTTCCTTGTAGAGGTGTGAATGGTCCAAGTATATTGTGGGTGTTGTAATCAATGTTATAAAACAAATATGCATGAATGATTGAATGAAAAACATATGCTTTATAAACACCCACTGAAACCACCATTTTAAAAATAATCAACAAATACCAAATCCATTGCCATGGAGTGAATTTCTAAGAGTATGTAAGGAAGCATCCTTCTTCCACAAAGCAGCTGGTAGTTTTGAACCACCAAGCTTTGGGTTAGCAGCTGAATATTTAAACCACTGCTCCATCAGAGTTCCTCTCTGCATAGCAGGTCTCAACTACTGAAATGACCTCTTGGCCATATGTCCTCCAGCATCAGTTAAACATTGCTCTGTGGATAATCTTTACACAGGATTTGCCTGTGCTCAGCAGTCTATTCACTTTTCCCACCTGTGAACACCGTTTATAAAGAGGGAATCCAAGGAAGGATTCAGAGTTTAGAAAACAAGCCAAAAAAAAAAAAAATCAAAGCTTTTCAATAACATGGACTTTCCACTATTAAAAATTATGTTTATAAGGATTCTATAAATTGCACAAATAGATCATTTTATGTGAAGAGAGCTATAAAGTAAAATACAAATATATGTTGATAAACACAGGATTAGTTCTATATGTGTTTTTATGGGTTGAAGAGGGAGAATCTTCAATTGTTTTTGAACTTGAAATTTAGATTGTGCTCTTAGAGTGAACTTCATGCTTGCTTCATGTCTTCTAACAGCAGCTGTAATTACTGTTCACAAGAATAACATCAGCTCAGCTCTTTATAAGTAGGTTTCCAAGGCATATCTTGCTCACAGAGAGCACAAACAGATACAGAAGATGAGGGTGCTCTTGTGTGCTCTTTGACATGTGAACTTGACGTGTCCTTTCTTTTTTTTATTTTTAAAACAATGTTTTATTGACATTGGGTCATTTGGGAATAATTACCCACATTTATTTATACGTTAAGATATTTTACCTCATCCCATCAACAAACAAATGACTAGAGAAGCTGTGGTATATTCGCACAATGGAATACTATGCTGCATTAAAAAACAAGGAACTCATGCAATATTACTCAAAATGGTTGACTCTGGAGAACATTATGCTGAGTGAAATGTCCCAGTCACAAAGGGACAAATATTGCATGGTGCCACTGTTGT